CAGAACAAAACATTGCCTAGTCCTGTGCCCAAGACTGTGGCCTCCACCAAATCTGAGACAAGGACTCTAAGACTAGACAAGAGACCCCTTCCTCGACGTGCAGACCAGGAAGGTGGGCCCACAGCAGGAATTCCCAGAGGAGCAAAGGAGACACTCTCTGCTTGGAGAAGCTTCAGACGATCACCATTTTGCCAGAGCCCAGCCAAGGCGAGTCCGGGTCCCCAGGGCACAGAGCCTGGCAGCAGAGTCTACCCTCTGCAAACATCTGGTGCACGCCCCACGCTGAGGCTGGGGTGCTGCACTGTCTTTGCTGAGGAGGACCCTCTCCCTCACCCTCCTGCTGATGCTCAGTGTTTGGGCCACAGCCTCTGCCCCCTCACCAGCCAGACAGGGAGAAGTCCCTGGCCCTTCAGGAAACTGTACCTATCTGTCCAGGCTCAGGAACCTTTCCTGTGCGTTATTCTTCTTGAAAAGGGAGGGGAAAAAAAGGAGGGATAAACTCTGACGTCATGGGCCTGTGAGTACCAGCAGAGTTGGAGGCCATCTGGAGCGGGTGCTGGGCAGGGCCCCTGGGAAAGGGGAAGAAGGCAGCTGGCAGGTCAGGTGGGGGCGTCCCGGGGCCAGACGAAGACCTCATGGCACGACGAGGTTAAGCTTTCCTGGAAGTCCTGGCCTGGGAAGGATGGATGACGCTTCCTTGGCCTCTGGCTTCCCTCCTAAGGCCAGACCCCAGAGGTGCGGGGCTCCTGGGGCAAGGTGCCAGCTCCATGAGGCCTCCCTCACCACCGATCCTGGGGAGTCTGGGGGCTCAGCGTCTTCCGTCCTAGGGGTGTGGGATCCCTCTTCTGCCTCAGCTGCTTCCTTCGGCCCCTGTGCAGGCCTGGGGAGCCTCCCCCCACCCGGGACTCCAGACTCTCTCTGCCCCATCTAGGAGGCAAAGACGCCTTTTCTCAATTACAGGTGGTGAAATGCACGGCCCCGCACAGGGACGGGACTTGGCCAGGGTTCTCCTGCAATTTTCCCGCTCACCGCCTGTTTAGTGTCCTCTCTAAGAAGTTGTGCAGCTGGAAGAGGCCCCTGGGATGAAATAATTGCAGAGAAAACAGATGAGCGGCTGAGAACCGCCCCCCTCTCCTGCGTGCCTGAGCACCCGTTGTGCCTCCCTGGGGCCAGGAGGGGGCGCTCTTTAAGGAACTTGTCCCCACCTCCTGGGGGAGAGGGCAAGACAATCCAGACACAGGCCCCTTTGCCCAGGCCTCCCAGAAGCCCTCAGGCACACTTTCTAGCCGGAAGTACCTTCATTAGATCTCCTGTCAGGTTCTGCTAGCTGCCTGGACATCGAGTGCTGCCAAGGAAGGGCCCCTGAGTGGCAGAGGCCTGGAAGAGGGGAAAGAGGAAGGAGGAGCCCACAAGAAGGCTGACTTTTCTCTCCTGTCCCAGCCTTTCAGAGGCCAGAAGGGAGAGGGCCTTGCGACCCTCTGAGACCTGGGGCCTGGCACACTTGAGTCTGTCTCTGATCCTCCACACTCCTTGCTCCTTTGCCACCCCCACCCACGCACCCCAACCCACCACTCTCCTTTCTTTCTCTCCATGGCCTCCTCTCCCCCAGCAGGCTTGCTTGCCTTCCCCACTCCCAAGAGCACTAGACTCCCACCCCCGGAAGACAACTCCACCACCACCACCTCCCTAGCACATCTCCTGCCTCCAGAATGCCACAGACCAGACCCACTGCAGACCGGCCTCTCTCCCAAGCCCAGCTCCTCGGGCATCCCCACCTGTGATGGAGACCCTCTGCTGTCCCTACAACTGGCATGCAGAATGTGGGCGTGATGCCAGCCTTCCCATTTCCCTCAGTTTCTCATGGTGGCCCTCTGGCAGGGGCTCTCGTTGGACTTATTTTCTCTGGTCACCCATGGTGGCCCTTTCAGCCCAAGACACTGAGGGAAACACAACTGACCCACAAGGAGTTGGTCTCTTTCCCACGTAGGCCTCCCTTCGTTCCTCCCTTCTCTCCTGTGCCCACTGGCCCTGTGTTCTGGCTCAGGCCAGCCTTGTGCTTTTCCAGGAAGCCTGCCTGCCTGCCACTCCAGGCTGGGGGCGGGCCCTTCAGGGGTGTCCACAGCCCTATACGCTCCCCTTGTCCCTGTCCTTTTCACCCTACAAAGCCAGTGGCCGTTTCCAGGGGTTCTTCCTGCTGGAACCAGCTCTGGAGTGCCAGGTAACTTTCCTCGTGGGTGCAGTGCAGGGTGCCTGGTGCATGTCAGGGACTCAGGAAGTGAGAGTAGTCAGAAAACAGGATTCCCCAGAATGACCAGGTCCCTGAGGCCCAATGGCCTTTCCCCTCCTTTGCTGGCAGGAGGAACCGTAACGCTGAGCATACTGTAAAGTGCCATCGAGGGCCCTGCTCAGCTGTGCATGGGTCCGACTCTTCCAGCCAGGTCCCTCTCAACATCCCATGAGAGAAAAGCAACAGGGAAGGACCAAGGAGGGAGAGATACCCTCCTCTGCAGTTCCCCCTTGCAAGAAAACCAAAATCCCCTTGGGGTGTGAGGCAAGAGGGCAAACCTTAAAGGCAACATCTTCAGTGTCCAAGTCAATCATGTGTCACTTTCTTCCCTCGAAGTCCTTCCAGCCCAACCCCCCACAGACTTCTACCCATCCCCCTCCCAGGCCAGTGAAGTGGGGCAGCCCACTGGCCAGGTATGGGGGCCCGCCAGACGATTCCCCTTCCAGAGAGGGGAGGGGAGGTCCAGGCTGTTGGCTCTGCCCTCTCTGGGTGGGAGGGTAAGGGATGTCAGGTGTTTTCATTCAGGCTCAGAGCTCAGAGGGAGGATCTAGGTATTTGCTGGTTCCCCGGGAAGTGCATCCAGGAAACACAGAAGACTCAGAAGAACGGCCAACAGACATTCAGGCAGAAGGAGGTGATACTGCGGCACTGGAAATTTCCATTCTGTTCTTAATGAGGGGCTTGAGGGTGTGTGGCTGCTGCCCCCTGGAAACCCCAGAAACCAGCTCTAGAGTGAATAGCTGGGTTCATTCAACCACTATAAATAAAGCAAGTCTCAGAGAGGTTGCGATGGTGACATTCCTTCATCCAGGAGGCGGAGAAGGAACTTCCACAGCATATCCCAAGCTCCCTCTCCTCCTTTAGCTTTTTTTCCTTTCTCCTTAAATGAAAGAGTGGTACCACTGTGGGTGTTAAGATAGAGAGGCAATCAGGGCAGGCTACCTGGAAGCGGTGGGTCAACAACCCAGGAGCCACACAGGGTGCCCTGTTGGTGTCTAGATGCTACAAACTCAGCTCCCCGCCCCCAGAAAAAAAAAAAAAAAACCTCACTGCCATCAAGTCGATTCTGACTCATAGCGACCCCCTTTGGGTTTCTGAGGTGGTAAATCTTTACGGAATTAGATTGCCCAGTTGTCCTTCTGCAGAGAGGCTGCTGGGTTTGAACCGCAAACCTTCTGGTTAGCAGTCAAATGCCTTGGGGACCCAGGGCCCAGTTGGTCCACAGTTTCCCATTCAGGGTGCAGGAGCCGGAAGATGTGAGTCAAGGGAGGGGCTGAGGTGGGAACAGTGATGTTCTGCTTCCCTGGTTGCAGTGCCAGGCTGCCAGGTTGCAGAGAAAGCCACAGCCGGGCAGCTGGTCCCGAGGGCCCTCTTGACTCCAGCCTTCCTCCAGGCTCAGTGAAGCTTCCTCTCCCTTTTTCAGGCTTTTTGCACATCCCAGTTCCTGAGTCATGCAGGGTGGTCTTCACACCTGGGTACTACCACCACAGTTATTCTTCCCTCTCCAACCCAAGTCCTGCTCCCAGGCAGCTTGGCCATTCATACATGTACCGCATCTCAACCAATTCTTGGGACACTGGGCTTCCGGTCTCTGTAGTCCATCCCCAGATGGACTCCTGAGGGCGCAGAAGCCTTGCCCAAGGAGAAGGAGTCAGGAGCTAGAAGGGTGTGTGGCCATGTGGGGCCCCTCTATGACCAAGAACAAAAAGGTGACTTCCCAGGAGCGGATTGGGACTGGATGAAGCCCCCCCCCCCAGCCTGTGCGGGTGCACAGGACGCTGGAGCGCATCCTCACGCTGCTGGCAGGGTCCGCAGCACCCCTGCCCGCGCAGACCAAACCCACCAGCCAGCTCCGCCCTGGGGACGTTCTGCGTGGCGACCTGAAAGTGAGCTCGGAGCCACGGCAGGGACACAAGCTGCGCCGTGCACGTGCACCGTGGTACCCTATCCCAGGCCTGCCCTTGCAGACCCCTCTTCCCGTCTCCACTCGCACACACACACTGGCTCGAGAGTTGCACTTTTCATGCAGAAGACTGGCGCTCCCCCCTGCGGTTCCGGCAGAGCCCGCTCTCCTGGCGCCTGTCGCGGAGACCTTCGGCCGGGTCCTCTGCCGCCCCTACACAACCGCGTAGGTGCGGTCGAAGAGCCCGCGACCAGCAGGCGGAAGGCTGAGCCGAAGTCCCGGCTCGCGCCCGTCAGGTGCCCAGGGACTAGTTTGGCAACAAGGCAGGTCTGCATGGATACCCAGCTCCACTAACTTTCTAAGTGACTTTGGGCAAGTGATTCATTCCTCGGAGACTGTCCTTGCACCTGCAAGGAGAGAAACTGGTCTCTCCTAGGTGGAGAGCGGGTGCTGAGGCGTGAATACGGGCGCAGGGCCGGACGCACGCGGCTGGGCACGCCAGGGCGCGCGCGCTGCAAATGGAACTCCCTCTCGCGCGCCGCCTTACAGCTCCAAGTGCTGCCCCGAGCCAGCCAGCAGCTCCTGGGGTCCCTCGGGGTTGGGATAAGGGTGGAAAGGAGGAGGGGGAGCCCCCGCGGACCCCTCCCGGCCCTGGCGCGGCTGTGTGCACCGTGCCATTGGCCGGGACTGCCGGGTGGGCGGGCGGATGACATCAGCGGCCAGGTTGGATTATAAAGGCGGGAGCGCAGCCGCGAGCTCAGAGCGCACCCAGCCGGCGCCGCGCAGCACTGGGACCCGCGCCTGCCTGCAGCCCGGCCAGCCGCTCCGCGCCCGCCCGCTTTCCCGCCGGCCTCGTGCGCCCTCGACCCAGCGGGCACCATGCACCTCTCCCAGCTGCTGGCCTGCGCCCTACTGCTCACGCTGCTCTCGCTCCGGCCCTCCGAAGCCAAGCCCGGGGCGCAGCCGAAGGTGGGTGCTGTCGCGGGGATGCCGGGCCTGTGAGGGACAGGGGGCCCGGGAGGATGCGGCGCGCAGGGGCAGAGAAGCCGGCCCTGTCCCCCTAACTGTGCGCGGTGAGAGCCGGGAGCCCTCCAAGCCCTGACTGGAGATGGACTTTCCCAGCCTCAGAGACATAGAGAGGCGCAGCCCCCGGCCAAGTGCAGCCAGCGGGCGAGGGGCGAGAAAGGGGAGGACAGGGGTGTCCCAAGGGCGGATCAGCGCGGCCGTGTGGCAGGTGGATACGGGCCGACTTGTCTGGCATCGCAGGTGACAAACTGCGCTGTCTGATGCGTCTGGCCGGAGTATCGGGGGACCCGCAGGGCCCCAGCGCTGCCGCCACGCGTCCCTTCACCTGCTGCCTCTTTTCCTTAATAGGTTCCACGCACCCCGCCGGGGGAGGAGGTGGCCGAGCCCCAGGCTGCGGGTGGCGGTCAGAAGAAGGGCGACAAGGCTCCTGGGGGCGGCAGCGCCAACCTCAAGGGTGACAGGTCGCGACTGCTCCGGGACCTGCGCGTGGACACCAAGTCGCGGGCAGCGTGGGCCCGCCTACTGCACGAGCACCCCAACGCGCGCAAGTACAAAGGGGGCAACAAGAAGGGGTTGTCCAAGGGCTGCTTCGGCCTCAAGCTGGACCGGATTGGCTCCATGAGCGGCCTGGGATGTTAGTGCGGCGACCCCTGGCGGCGGTGAGTACACCAGGCTGGACGCCCTGCGGCCGGAGCCTTATTGCCAGACCCAGGCCTTATCCCCATCGCGGGCCCGGTCCCCTTTGATCCTTGGGCAGCCCTTGCAGCGTCCTCCCCCCCCCCGTCTCTAGGCGGCCTCTAAAGAGGAGTCAGGCCCCGGGAGCTGAGTGTGTGTTCCTCACTGAGCAGGTGCTTTCATCCCCACCCCTTAGGATCCCATTGTGCAGATGAAGAACAGTGACAGACAGAGTAGTCAGGGACGGGTGGCAAGGTCAATAAGGGCTCAGCCTGGATAAGCTCACCTGGCTGCTTCCAGAGAGGCAGAGAGGCCTGATGGGGTCCAGTCTAACCCGAAACCAGCAGCATGGGCCCCAAACTGCCAGTTGGAGGGTCAAAGGGTGATGATGAGTTTGTGGGAGCAGAGGAAAAGGGGGATACACAAGAGCTAGGGGTAAATTTATCTGCCAGCCACTGTGTGGATATGCCCACAGCAGTGGGCAGCCAAGTGGTCAGGACCCCTTTGGGTCAGCTGTCCCTCAGCCCCCCAGCTGGCAAGATTACAGCAGGAGAAATGCCTGCCCCATCACAGTAGACAGAATAACCCTCTGTTGGCATCTGCTGGCTGCTCTGCTGGCCGGGACATTCTGGTTCTTGACCCATCTCCAAACCGTGACTGTGAGCAATTAGTCTGTCCAGGGTCCTGATGCTGCTGCAGCCCCCGTGGCTTCAGGGCAAACCCAGTTCCTGACCCGATTTCAAAGCAGGGAAGGGAAAAGACTAAGAGAAATCTTTACTTTGGCTCCAACCTCAGACTCAACATGTCCCGTACTGAGCTCTGTTGCAACCGTGGCCCCCAATCACGCTTCTGGGCTCCCCGTTTCTGCCATGGCTTGCTCAGCCTCCACTGCATCATCCTGCCGGGCCGCGTGCTGGTGATGGACTGCTGCAGAGGCTCATCTCCTCTCCGTCCCTCGTCTCCGTTCTCACCACCCATCAGTGCCCACTGAATAATGGCCCACCCTCCGACACTGGCATTCGAGAGCTGCAGAATCAAGGCTCTGCTTGTTTCTAGCCTTGCCTCCTGCTACCTGTCTCACTCCAGGCCACGGGAGGGTGGTCTCCTCACCCATAAACCACTGTCTGTGTCCACACTGGCTTTCCCCAGTGGGAAACAGGCGCACTCCTCTGCAAACCTCTCCAGCAGGTTGCCTAGGCCGTGTTTACAGACCCTAGGTCCCGGGTGGCACAAGCAGGTTGCACTCAACTGCTAAAGGCTGGTGGTTTGAATCTACTCAGTGGTGCCACGGAAGAAAGACCTGGCAATCCGTTTCCATAAAGATTACAGCCAAGAAAGCCCCATGGAGCAGCTGTGCTCTAACACATGGGGTCGCTGTGAGTCGGAATTGACTTGACGGCAACAGGTTTGGCTTGGCTTCTTTCTTTACAACACAAAACACTTTTCACCAGTTGTTGTTGTTATGTGCCGTTGAGTCAGACCCGACTCGTAATGACCCCTCCTTGGGTTTCCGAGGCAGTTATCACTATGGAAGTAGATTGCCCAACCTTCCTTCCAAGGAGTGGCTGGTGGGTTTGAACCGCCAGGCTTCTGCTTAGCAGTCAAATGCCTTAGACACTACGCTAGGTGTGGTGGTTTCTGAAGTGCTTCGCCTCCCCATACTGACTTGGGAGCAACTTGATAGCTAGACGCTAGCCTAAGGCAATCGAGGCCCCATGGCACCTCCAACAATGACCAGAGAAACCTGCCCCCTCCACTTTCGGGCGCCCCTCTGCCCCTGCCCTCGATTTCAGCAGGTTCTCCTCTCTCTGCAGCCACATTGGCCCAGCTGTGTGCTTCTCCGCATCCTGCAGGGGCTTCTGTTGTCTGTGACCTGGACCCAGCCCCTGCACAGGGAGCAGAATGGTTCCAGCACTTGAGGCCCAACCCTTAGCCACTGCCATTGCACTGCCCTTGCCCTTTTCTGTCCTGTCTGAAAAACGGCAGATGGAGCCACAGACCTTGTATCTTCAGCCCATGACTTAAGCATCAAGGTCAAACTTCAGAGTCGACACTAAAGTTGGTTAACCTTCTATCGAATAGTGCCCGGAGTGTTCACCCCCCTCCCCTATGGGAGCCTCGTTCTTGAACGTGACAGGCTGTGGGTGCCAGGGGATGATCAAATAGCTAGAAAGGCACCAGGGAGGGGAAAACCCAGATTGCTAAGACTTCTTGACCCCTTGGACCAGGGCAGTCTGCCAACTTCCTGGAAGCTCTCCCTTTTTCTTTTACGATTCCCCGTTCCACCTTCATGCTCCCCCGGCCTCTGGGTGGGAGAGCAGAGCCTGGATATACTCAGGGCTTGAGCTTCCAAGAGAAAAAGCTTAGTTAGATTTTCACAAGAATGAAAGCTCCTCTGAGGCTCCATTCATTTCTCCACCCAGAGGTTGGCTTTGGCTCCAAGCAGCCGCCATAATGACTGTCGCCGAAGGTTATAGGTCTTGGTTATAAAATGCTAATGACAGACACAGATGGGGCTGGTACCGGAATGAACACCTTGCCCACAGGCCCCAGGATGATCACAGACATCTGCCATCTGTTTGCACAGTTGGGGCAGCTGCAGAAGGGAGTTGAGGGGAGTTCAGTAGGCCCTTCACGCTCCTTCTGTGTTTGCTGTCCTTGTGAAGGGCACCGGCTGTCTCAGAAGAGAGTGCCCACAGCAGTGTCTCACAGCAGAGACTCCGCGCTCAGTACAGCCCTCATGGGATGACGCCGATCACCTCTGACCCCACCAAACTCAGCACAAATGTCCCCCATTCTGAAGGAACCCAGGGCCCAGACCAGGGGAAGGCCAAACCTTCCAACTGGGGGAAGAAGCGCTGCTTACTGAGTGGTGTGGCTGCGACCCCGACACTGTGCCCCCCAGTGGATCTCAAAGCCAGCCCTGGGAGGTGGCTATTATCCCATTGCATGGTGGGGAAGGTGATACTCTTACCTGTCCGGGGCCAGGCAGGCAGGAAGTGTCAGAGTTGGGATCCTCAAGTATTTCTCTTTCCACCTCTCACCACTGTCATCAAGACACGTGGGACAAGCACCCGACTGAGGGCTTGTGTTGTAGCAAACAGGGAGCGTCCTCTCTCTGCCTTGTGTGTCTCCCTGACACCAAGGGAAAGGCCCATCATTAGACTGAGGAGGGAGAGCATATGGGCTGTGCTTCCCTGCAGGAAGGGCTTCACCAGGTGGGCAGAGGTGGAGGACGTTGCCGCATGCTACTGCAGGAATCGGGAAGAAGGTTCTAGAACTGCCTGCAGGCTGGTCTTCCTTCGCTAAGGGGCCGGAACTGGGCTTCACATGTCCCCTCTGTGTTTCAGGACTGGGCATTTGCTCCATTGTGATGAGGTCACCCTTGGTCACCAGCCTGCCAGCATCTGGAAGCACCTCCAGCGCAATGTGGCTTTGACATTTCTTTTTGTTGTTTTGTTTTTTTCCCCTGGTACTGGGAATACACAACACCAGCTGTTTGATTATTATTTGGAGGGGGGTGTGATTTTATTGTTTGTTTGTTTTTTAAAATGAAAAATAAAAAAGTTATATAAATTATATATATTATATACATGAAACACACACACCTACACTGACTTGACAAGGGACAGTTTTTAAGAGACTGACACCAGCTGTAAAAACATTGCTGTTTGTAAATTCATGTCATGCATAAATGTATTTATGTTGTAAAGCTATTTATATTGTTTATAAAGAGATATTTATAAAAATTTTATTTATGTAACTAAATGAAAGAAGTCAATCATTGTAATGTTTTTGTCCTAACTAGTTGAAAAATGTAAAAGGAAAAAAAAAAAGTCATTCCATGAACATCTTGAAAACTGTCTTTATTTATTCATTGCATTTGTCTTCGAGGCCTGAGTCTGAGGCACAGGGAGAAAGGCAAGGTTCTGAATAGCACCTGACAGCCAGGTTGCCAGCTCTGGATCAACTTGTTGCAGGTTCCCGGGGGTGTGTGTGGGGGCGGGGGTATCTTGTAAAAAGGCAGATTTCCCCCCACTGCCACTGAGTCAGTCTCTGGGGATGGGACTGGCCGTATGGATTTTGTCCCCCGTGATTCTAACCAGCTCAGCCAGGTCAGGAAGGCGCTCAGAGCCCGACGTGTGCAGCAGGTGCTATGAATCAAGTGACAATGAAACGCAGCCAAGTCGTCATTCACTCCCGTCGAGTCAGCCCAACTCATGGCGACCCCGTGCACCGCAAAATGAAACCATGCTCGGTCCTGCACCGCCCCCCAGGGCCCCTGGAGGCAGGTCCCCAAGGCCTTTCTTCCTTCTCCATCTTAGTCTGGAAGCTCTGCTGAACCCTGTCCAGAGTCGTGTCAACATGCAAGCCTCCCCTGACAGACGGCGGGGGGCTGTGCTTGAGGTGGACTGCAGAACCGAACCTGGGTCTCCCGTGTGGAAGGTGGGAATCCCACCACTAAGCAACACTGCCCTGTTCCACCTTCTCTCTGTTACTAGGCAAAAGAAAGAACTGGAAGAGATACCAATTCCGTATCTTGCAGGATTGACCAGGATCCCTCAGGGATCTTCACAACTCCATCTCATCAACTTGCTCACTGAAGCACGCAGCACAGGGTCACCTTTACCTCAGAGTGAATGTCAAGGTCAGCCAGGGCCTGAGGCTGAGGGCACCTGCTGCTCTCAGAGAGAAGGGAGGGCATTATCAGATTTCCTGGGTGTGCTTTTCAGTTGAAGCCTCTGACGACTGTGGCTCTGTGACCTGCAGAGCCTCTGATGTGACCATAGAAATATTTTGAATCTCTCTTTATGAAACCAATGTTGTTGTTGTGCTGTTATGTGCCGTCGAGTCGGCCCCGACTCATAGTGACCCCTCCTTGGGTTTCCGAGGCAGTATCACTATGGAAGTAGGATTGCCCGACCAAATAAGTCCAAGGTGATCTAGCACCATCCTTTGGTCGGTGACATCTCTGTGCAGACATCCACGTTCTGTCAGAAGCAGACAGGTGGGCACTGACCTGCTCAGGGGGACTGGGAGCAGACCTGCTCTTGTGGGGTCACCAGGCCCGGATGAGCTTGGCCCGTTGCAGAGGACAAATGTCATCAGGGAGGTAGCTGGTGGCCCCTGGTCTTTCTACGAGCCCTGTGACCTTTGTTCCCGAGTGGCCCTTCAGCAGCGGGTAGGTGGGCAACCAGCATAGTGACTTCACCCTGGTGAGAAAACTGCTTTTAAAAAAGGTTCCAGCTGGAGAAGGTTCGGGCCCTTCCTACCCTCTCACCTTCTGCTGCTGCCCCAGGGCACCAGCCCAGTAATAGGGGCACGGTTACCTTCGTCAGTCTCCTCCAGCTCCGTGGCTCAGAACTCAAGGAGGCGAGGGGGCTCTCAGCTCACTGTGCCGTCTGCAGACCCTACACAAGGGGCAGCAAGGGCGCTGCAGACCTGTGGTGGGGGACGGGGAGCCCGCAGTTCCACTGCGGGTTTTGCTGAGGACAAGACAAGAGGACCCCCCTAAACCCCAGAGACAAAAGGGACCGGAATCCCAGGATTGGAGAACCACCAGCGGCGTTAAGGGGCTCCCCCTAAACTCAGTACCAGGACGCTGGTAATCCAGGGTGCCTAAGGACCCTCCGCCAGGTGGCACGGGCTCTCCTCAGAAAGGGCCACATGCACAGATTAGCCTCAAACAGCCCGCAGCAGCGTCAGGTGCCTACTTCAGGCCCTCCAGGCGGGGGCCGGGCTCAACCCACTGGCCAGTCCCCCTTACGGCCACACCTAACATCCAGCAGGGGCTCATGCCAGCCTGAGATCTCTGCGGGACCGCCAGGAAGGGTTGGCAAACAGCCAGCAGGTTTCAGGAAACGTTTTGAAAGTTCCACAGGTTGCCCAGGTGGTATTCCATTACCCGAGGTCTCTGTGTGGGCTTCCTCCCTCGCCCCCAGCATCCAGCACCCAGAGGAGCGGCCTCTGTGGCTCCTCTCCCCACGGGGTTAGAGGGTTCCCACCGGGCTGGGCTTGCCGGGTGCAGAGAGGTGGAGTTTCAGGTGCTAAGAGGCCCTGTGCCCTGAGGAAGCCACGCCCTTCCCTGAAGTAGGCATGACGGGAGTCGCTCTGGACAAGGAAGGAGGCAGCTCCGAGCCTGCTTCCCACTGCTGTTGACACGAAGTCCTGGCTGGGGCAGGACCTGGCTCCCAAACGTGCCTGGGGGAGAGGCCCGGCCCTTGCAGCCCACGTGAGGGGTTCCTCAGAGGTGCCCCTCCCTGGCGCAGAGGCGGTGCACCTGCAGTGGGGGCGACAGGCGTGGGGATGCCCTCCAGGCCAGTGGTCTCACCCACTTCACATGAGGTGGGGTTTCCTCTGATACTGAGACCTCAGAGGGTGGTTGCAGGTGCAGCTGTGCTTGAGCAGGGGGACTCGCTGGGGTGACCAGAGGCCACAGTATCTGGGCAAGGGCTGGAGAGGGGAGAGCTGAGGAGGGCACTCAGGGCCGATGTCGATGTTATGAGTCAGGATGTCAGTCGCCTCAGAAGAAGGACTTCACAGAGAGGTGCCGGCAGCCGAGCGAGGCCCCCCGGAAACCAGGTTCACCCCCAGGGCTGGAAGAGGTGGCACTCTGAGCTGCAGCTGCTGCAGGGGCGTGCCGCCAAACCAGAGGGGGTGAGGGACAAGTACCCCCGGGTGTAGCTAGTGTGTGGCAGGTATGGCAGTGCCCTGGACGCCACTTGAGGGGGCGCCACTGAGCAGTCGCTGTCGCCCACCAAAGTTCGCGTCTCCAGCTGTGGGAGATCATCGCTCGATTGAAAAGCACTGGCCGTAGGCGCCATCTTCAGTAGCTACACCTGCGATATAGCGGCTCCTCCCCCTTCCCTCCTCCCTCCTCCTGGCTCCTGAGGGGCAACCAACTGGCTAAACCCAACCAGAAACCAGCCAAGGTGTCTGGGGGTCGCAGCCTGCAGGAGTTGGCCTCCCAAGACAGGAGTGGGATAGAAGCAACAGCTCACAAGGGCCCGGGCTTGAGGAGAGGGGTGAGGGGTGAGACGCACCAGGGCTGAGGTCACTTCCCTGGAGGTGGTTGCTTGACTTGGTCATGGAGCTGGAGGGAGACTGGGCGGGGAGAGTGGGCACAGCTTCCTGGCAGCCCCTGTTCTGGGAGGGAGTGGGCCCATGTTCTGGGCTTGTCTGGTGGGTCACAGGTGCCCCCCAACCCCACTGGGAGTGCCAGTCAACAGTGTCACCTCCCGGGTGGCACATCACCCTGCTGTTGTATATCCCATCCTGGTCCAAGCTCTGGACAGGTGACACTTCCACAGGGAAGGGATGTGAAGAGAAAGGCTGCCCCATGAGGCCCAGTCAGGTTCTCGCAGAGCAGAGTAGGCCAACACAGGTGGACTTCCTCACCCGGTAGGTCCACTCTTTATCCTTTTCTGGACTTTTAGTTTGGTTTGTTCTCAGGTCCTGGATTCAGCTTCCCAGTGCCCAATGACTTCTGTTAACTGCTTCCAACGTTGAGTTCACTGGTGCATTTTTTATTTCCTTGTAAGTTTTCTGTTTCTCCTTTTTTCCCCTTTCGCCTCATCTTGTTCCCTTTTTTATCCCATTCCCTTTTCATTTTAGCATCTGATTCATAGAAACTTTGTCCTCCTGCGTGCTATGTAGTGTGTACCACAGGGTCCTGAAACTTTCTTCCAGAACCTTCTGAGGGTGTATTTCAGAGGTCTGCATTCTACATATCCCAGAGGCATGAGTGAAAGTCACATTTCCCCTGGTGGTTCCTGTTATGTCCCATCTCTGCTCAGTTGAGAAAGGAGCCTGGGTGGTACAGTAGTTAAGCACTCAGACACTAACCAAAAGGTTAGTCGTTCAAACCCACTAGCCACTTCACAGGAGAAAGATGTGATAGTCTGCTTCTATAAAGATTACAGCTTTAGAAACACTCCCTCAAAAACTCACTGCCGTCGAGTCGATCTTGACTCATAGTGACCCCTCCTTGGGTTTCTGAGGCAGTATATCCATAGAAGTAGATTGCCCAGTCTTCCTTCTGAGGAGTGGCTGGTGGGTTTGAACTGCCAGCCTTCTAGTTAGCAGTCAAATGCCTTAAAATCAAACCCAATGTCATCGAGTCAATTCTGACTCGTAGCCACCCCCACTGGGTTTCCAAGGCCGTAAATCTTTACAGAAATACATTGCCTCGTTGGGTTTTGAACCGCTGACATTCTGGCTAGAACCCAAATGTCTTACCCATTATGCCACCAGAGCTCCTATGCTAACACTATGGGGCAGTTCTACTCTGTCCTGTAGAGTCACTAGGAGTGGGAATTGACTCAGCGGCAGCGGGTTTGGTTTGGGCTTTGCCTGGGTAAAGACTGGCAGCCGTGGAAACCCTATGGGGCAGTCCTCTAGGGGCGCTGTGAGTCGGAATCCACTGAACTGCAATGTCCACTTAGTTGAGAAATAGGTTGGGAAAGTGATGGGATACTGGAAATGTCAGGAAACAGCCTGCCCACCTTCCGAGCATCACCTCGCAGGTCGGAAGAAAGGCTGGCCAGCTTCCTGGTTGGCACAGACCGTGGGACA